CGCCTAAGCTGAACGAACGTCAGCAGGCGGAAATACTGGAGGAGCTAAATCTGACCGGCCCGTTGTGCCATGACAAGCGCATCTTCACCACCTGCCTGACTGCAGAGGAGGTTCGGAAACACAACCAGTACACCAACCGGAGCATCGAATTCCGGGAGGAGTACGTGGACACTATACTGGATAATCTATTGCCGGATGATGTGCGTTGCCTGATCGTCGCCGAGGACGAGCTGGCCAGGTGTCAGCCGCTGGAACGGATCTTCCCCACCGCCGGCACACATGTATACCTGCGCTATGTCGAGAATGCCCGGTACTACAATCGGCTGCTGGACGCCTGGGAGACGAAGTACGCCAAGAATCGGGAAATGGGCATTGCGTTGCTGTCGCGATATTGCCGGGACAAATACCATTTACAGGTGTCGGACGCCGCCATGGAAAAGGTGAACGATCAATTCAATTCAATTGAATTTCCCCTTCCGTACCGCTTCTGTAGTCCATTTTCAAGTCATATTTCTTATCTAGGAACCAAATGTCGCACTTACCGAGATCGATATGCTGCACGTGCGAAAGGATGAGGTCTTGGACGGTGCCACCACGCTGGCCATGCTTAAGCCCGTCGCCCAGGAGGGCTGCGAGGTGGTGCCGACCTCGGATGCCTGCATCGAGATTAAGTCCTGAGATTAAGTCCACCGCCGAGGCACTATCCGCCCTAAGTCACCATTACTTCTTCCATTTCCGTTTCCGTTCTCAGCTCACAGCTGCGCCAGCACGCCGTTCAAATTTGCTTCGGAATTGTCTCCACTCAATAAATTTCCTTAACTTTGATCGTCTTTATCCTCGAAATGTAATAACCATGCGGCTCCATTTCCTTGTTGGTGGAAACGGCTAGTTTTAGCAACCAGGCTGAAATTGGATTACACGTTGTGCCAGTAAACAAGAAACACCACGATGTGCTGTAAAATATGATAGAATCCGTGAAAATATATAACTTATTTCAATTTAGAGGGTTCGTTTTGTTTCTCTTATTGCAAATGCAAGCTAGTACGAAACTTTTTGAAATTGGCGCGCTTTGCAGGTGCGATAGACCCAGCGAAGTGCAATCGATAAATGGTGGCGCAGTCTTGAGCGCTCAAGCTGCCGATAACGGCATCACGCCTACAATTATCGATAGCTGTAGCTGTATAATAACAATAAACAAAAATTCACTGCATTGCACGGCGCTAAAATAAAAACTAACCAAACCTCTGCAAGCCATGGCGTGGACTGAATTATAAGGCCGGATTGCGACCAAAGGACTGCAAGCGGAACAGCTGAGCTGCACAATTCGGAAATCGCCAATCTAACACTGCGAGCCAATACAAAAAAGTGGCCCATTGATTTTTCGCCAAGTAACTGCTGCTTAAAGAAAATTGCGAGCAGCGTTGGAATTTCCCCCTGCCAATCAGCAAAATGAGTGGTAAGAGGCCAGTTCTCTGGAAGAATGGCCATTAAGCATTGCTAACTATTCACACGATCTCATTTGGGGGAATCGCTGTGCTGACTGCATAGGAATTTGCAGTCTGCTTTTGGGGAGTGGTGGCTAATGTTGAGTGGGGGGCGCGGGGCTGCGAGGTCCTGGCTGAAAAGGACGCACCTGCGCCCTGACCTCCGCCCCATCTTCTTGGAAAGTCCAGCCCCCGATGAAGTCATCAATTTTGTAACATGTACACATACACAGGGAAGCTTGCAGTATGTGCTTCCTTTTGGTTTTTTTACATAATTACAATTTTCGCCTTTATTGCACTGCTGCTGATGTTGTATTTATATAGAATAGCGCTTTATGAACGTTTTTAAGCATTTGTTTTATACCTTTGAAATGCATTTGTAATCCATTGAGCTGTGTTCACCCAAACAGGCGACGAACGTGGCGAGGAGAAGCACGTCCTGAACTTGTCCAAGCAGAAGCTGAAGAAGGTGCCCAAGCAGGACGATGCGCACAGCATCCGGCAGCTCATCCTGGACGAGAACGAGCTGCAGAAGATCGACAACATAGACTCGTACCTCAAAATTGAAACGGTGATTTGCGATATGCGGTTTAAGACCACAAGTTCCTAATTGACAAAAATTCCAACTTCTCAGCTCTCCTTGGCTAGGAATCAATTGCTGCGCATGTATGGCGTCTGCCGGCTGCACTGCCTCCGTGAACTGAACCTGTCCTACAACGGCATACTCTCTATCGAGGGTCTGAAGGAGTGCATCCACCTGCGCGTACTGAATCTGGAGGGGAACAACATCAAGACCATCGAGCATCTGAACATGAATATCAATCTGGAGTGCCTGAATCTGGCGGAGAACAGCATTGGCAGCATTTCGGATATGTCCTATTTGCGCAATCTCAAGGAGCTATACTTGCACGGAAATCGCTTGACGCATCTGCGGCAGTGCGACAAGTGTTTGCCCACCTCTCTGGAAACGCTTACGTTGGCCAAGAATAGCATCAACGATCTCAATGAGATCTGTACGCTGTCGCATCTCAGCAACTTGCTGAGCATTTCCATTGCGGATAATCCCTGTGTGACCATGACCAACAGTTTGGAGTGAGTTAGCTTGATCAATGACCTTAAACGCCTCACTTAAAATGCCTCATCTTTTCCAGTGGCTTTGACTATCGACCTTTTGTGTTGAACTGGTGCATGAGCCTCAAGTACATCGATGGCTTTGTGGTCGATCCTATTGAGAGTCTTAAGGCGGAGTGGCTGTATAGCCAGGGACGTGGTCGCCAATTCCGTGTGGGCGAGCAGCCGGGCCTGGCTAAATACCTGAGTTCTGTGTGCCCCCTGGTGGGCAAGGCGCTGGAGAATGAAAACGATAGGAAGCTCCGCTTGATCCTCAGCAAGGCGCAACATCACCAGCGGCAGCTGCAGGAAGAGATCATGGATAATGCAAACAGTTCTGCTAGCACTTCGCCCTCATCCCATCGCAAGAAGCCCACCAGTCGCATTCAATCGCCGAGATGTAAGTTGTTACCCTTTCTTATATAACCAATGCATTAATATCTGCGATTGAAAGTCTCCCGCTTGAGTGGCCGCCAGGGATCACCGGAGTCCATGGTGAATAGCTATCACGGGAACAGCAGCAACAATAGCATTGTTAGCGACAATGGATCTTCGAATCATTCGCTGCAAATGAGCATTTCGCTAATTGAGAACATTAAGAACGATGGCGATGGCTTTACGTTGGCCGGCAGCGGAATGTCCAGCAGCGTGACCACCAAGACATACAATTCCACGGAGTCCACTCCACGAAATATAACCCCCAATCCCTACAACGGTATGACAATTAAAAAGAAGCCATCACACAAAGGATAATAACATTAAAAGTAATCACCACTTACCAGATCAAACGTTCATCAGTCAAACTCCATCTGGGGGTCCATTGGCGGCTGCCTCGAAAATGGTACCAGTTCCAGAGACTCTGATGAGTCCGGATGTCTGTCCCGCCGCTGTGGCCCAAAGAGTGACGGTTACCGCACTGAACCCTCAGCTGCACAAGACCAAGGTCAACAAAAATAAAGGTAGCCAGTAGTTGTTACTCTAGACTTTAAAACGACACAGGTTACTTAAACAAAAATAGTCATCTACTCTACAGACAACAAACTGAACTTGCCAAGAGTGCGAAGTCCACAACTGAAGAGGCACCAAAGCCCCACGAGCAGTCCACGGAAGATGACCAACAAATGCGGCGTGGACAAAATGCAGCTGCAGGAGAAGCTACAGCAATCGGGTGCATTGGCCGATAGCGGCGGCTTCAGCACCGACGACGACGGCGAGCAGATCAACATCGAGAAACTGAAGGCAATCAGGAAGATGGCCGCTCAAAAGCAGCAGCAGATGCATCAGGAGCAGCTGAAGCAGCAGGTGGACAACAACCTGAACTGCCAGGATCGGTTGATCGAGCACGTGACGGAGTCCTCGGCCGTTACCATCCAAAAGATGTGGCGAGGTTATCACACACGCAAGAAGACTAACAAGGACATTGCCGAACGATTGCAACGACGACGCACGCAGGAGTATATCGAGTAGGTGGTCCCTGCACTAAGGTGCCCCGGTTCACCATTTTCTAAAGCTCTGTCTTTCAAACTCCCCAGGCAACTCGGCAAGGATATGCTACTTACGAAGGCCCAGCTCGAGAACGAGCGAAAGATTCAGCAGCTGCAGATGCAGGCCATCAATGCGCTGTGGAAAAAGGTGTCCACCATGGAGGTGGATCCCAAGGGAGTGCCTGCTACTGCGGAACAGGGCGAGGACTCCAATGGCGGAGGCTCTGGCCACCTGAGTCTCGATCAAAATTCAGCCGCCGTGGTCAATGATTTGGCAAAGAGATGCACCATGCTCACCGATCAGGTTCAAATGCTACAAAGCTCGATTGGAACCATTGTCAACTGCCTTACAATGGTGTGCAACCTGCCACAGGACGCCATTAAGAAGCAGGCCGAGATCATTGATTGCAGCTCCACTCAGACGGACCTTATTGCTGTACACACACCTCAGATCGAGGACCTCACAAACTTTCCATTCACCAAAACAAGGCCCTCCACCTTGGCCCTAGAATCTAAGCATGAAGCTCTGGCTTGCCCCAAAATCGATGAACTGAATGATGTCGACCTGAAGGAGACCGTTGACTCTGCTCATCCCGATAAAGAACCATGAACAAATCCCAGTTAATAAATGAGGAGTATAAACGCTTTAAGGGTCGATCTCAGCGCTTATTAATTACTATCGTAGGCTTTTGTGTAGCTTTTGCAACAATTGAACGTAGAACTAGCACCAGCATTCACAGACACATTATTTTGTTACATTCCTGCGATGTAGAGATGGTGAAAGACTAACAATGGTATGAAAAATCGTAAATACAAACTTTTGTAAAGCACAAAAGGTGTTCTTGATTACGGGCAGAAGAACTTTTCATTTTTGAAGATTTCGTTCACTTTTTGTAAGGTAAGACTACTTAAAAAAGAAAGCTTCATTAACCAACAGTTTTTGTTTAATTCAGTTTGACAGCTTCTTAAATATCCTAACTATGTGTTTGTACGTCGTTCAGTCCTCCTCGCTAGATGTTTCCTCATCTTCCTCCTCTTCGTCGGAGGAATCCCGTCTTACAGGACGATTGGTATTGGGCAGGAGATCATCCTCGAAATCGGAGTCGTCTTTATTTTGACTGCTGGCTTCCTCCTGAACAGGTTTCTTAGTGAATTTATCAGGCCAAATTCCTGCTTTTGTGTACTCCTTTATATGTTCGGTAGTGATTATTTTGCAAATCTCGGCTTTCACTTTATCGCCCTCTTCAATCGGTTCGACCAGCAGAAAGTCGCCCCGCTTCACCCACATGCTCTTGCGGAATTTGTTGGGCATCGACACTGAAAGGTTCGAGAGATTAATGTTTTAAGATTATACTTGCTGTATATAGAATAAAGTCCTTAGATGGAATTCCCTTATCTTTCTTCAAAACTATGGTTCAGTTTATACATTATAGAGGGGCAGAAGGTTTGAACATAACATGATTAGACGCCTATAAAAGAAGGCCTCCTCCTTGCAGCTTCAGTACTATCTTGAAACTAAGCTGGGAGTCGCTTTGTTTTGCATTCTTTTTGCCTGGGGATCCTATTGGATCTCTGACAGGAAATCCAATTATTCTGCACAGTTCAGGTGTCTGCCCTACAGGACTCCTTAGAAGCTATGTCGGAGGAGCTACGGGCCTGGGTAAAACATGGTCAGGTACCCAAGGAACTTACTGAAATCTTAATGAAACTAGTGTGCGAAATCGAGATTGAAATCGAAATCGATCAATTATGAATATTAAACCATGGAATGCCGGTGCATTTTCCTCTACTTTACGCTTCACTCACCCAGGAAGCGCTCCTCCACGGTCTCCACCTCGTGGAGATTGTTTCCGCGGCTGCTGAGGACCCGCGCGATTTGCTGGGTTTCCGTGGGCAGGGCGTAGTCGTCCTCCATCATCTCCTTCATGAGATGCTTGCGCCGACTGATGCTCGGGTGGGATCGGTGCATTGTAGGGGTTTTAATAAAGTATTTGATACAAAAGGAAAATCAAGAATTTTTGCTCAACTGCTGTTTTGTTTTGTGTACAATCAGCTGTTGGGCTAGTGATGTGAAACAGCACAAGTCGTGGTGCTATCGATAGCCACTCATCAAAACGTGTGGCGATGTCTACGAGCGACGCTGCACAACACTGGAAAATAGTGCTGTGCAATTAAGCGCAGAGTCAGCAATTGAGTTTTTGAATAAAGTGCCAAAGTTTGTGAATTATAACCGTCGCGATACGATTTGTGCTAAAAGCAGGCACTTCGCGCGAAGTCTCAAGTGAAAGCGCGATGACCATAGCAAGAGCACACTTTATTTGTAGAGCCACAAGGCCTTGCATTTCAAGTATTTATACAATTTTGTAACTTAACAATTAGTGGAGCATATGTACGTGCATCCACATAACGGGAAATTTGCCTGGCAATCGTGTAATAAAAAGCAACTAGAAATACAAAATATATTTAATCGCAGCAACTAGTTCTTGCTGCGCCTCAGCAGCATGCGCTCCTTGAGAGAAATCCGTCCGGACTTTTCCACCTTCGTGGAAACGTTGCGACGCGACTCAATTTGGGCCTGCTTCGATTTCTTCATTCTGAAATCATGTAAGTCATTTAAGTCATGTAAATCATGGCAAGTGCAATGCTTGCAATTCCTTACAATTCATTCAAGAGACTGGTGATCTCCTTCTTCCAAATATCCTTGAAATCGTTCGTGAAATTCGTCCAGTACTCGAAGAACTGGTCCGGCGTGCACTGGGCCAAAGTCAGGGTGCAGGCTTTGGGTGAGAAGTGATAGAAGCGCATGGTCTCCAGGAAGAGATCGCGACACTCGTCGAGGGCTTGGTGGAGCTTGGTCATGGACTTGTCCGCCTCCTTCACGAATTCCTCCATTTTGGACTTGAAGGGCTCCATGATCTCCGGGCGGGAGGCGGCCAGAACTTTGGCCGTGGTCCTCTTGCAACCTGTAGGATGATTTCATGGATTAGCTTAGTGATTTCGCTGCAAATTAGAGCTCTATAGTCTACCCAGAAACTTCTTGTTCAGATCGTAGATCTGCTGCTGCACCTCCTCGAAGTCCATTTGTGCGGCTCGTTCCACGTCCGTTGGTTCTGGGATCGGCAAACGGATTTCCAGCGGATGCACTCCCTCCTTTCTGCGCTGCGCAATGTAGGTGCGTACAATGAAATGGAGCAAGGTGGTGTGCGATTCCTTGGACTTGACGTCCTTAAGCTTGCCCAGTATATCCAGGTTGAAGCCATCCGCTTGACCCCGCTGTCGATTGCCACCGTTCATGTAGTTGCCCAGGGTTAGGATGATGGAGAAGACCAGCTTCAAATCCTCACTTTCGATCAGTTGCTGCGATAGCTGGGAAACGGTTTCCAGCTTTCGAGCCAACAGCGTTACGGACTCCTCGAATTCCGCCTGGAAGACAATGCAGGATATCCTCTCGCTGGCCATGGAAATCAGGGATATGTCGAGGAGGAACTGTTCCGGATGATCGAGGGGAATATCGCCGCCGGCTGACTCCCTGATCCTCTGCAGTTCGTCCTCGGTCGCCTGAATGTTACTCATGTGCTGCAGGGCCTCCAAACTGACCACCGACGTGTCTATGTGGTATATAGCATGCTCGATTTCGCTGGACGGCACATGCAGACTCCGCCAGATAATGCCCACATTCCGGGATCTCTCCGGATCGAGAACTTTGATCGACTTGGCTCGCTTGACCTTCAGCTCCTTGGGCTTGCTAACGGGCGCAATTGCTTGGCGGGAGAAGAGCTCCGTGAACTCATCGATATTATCCAGTGGCGTTTCCTCGATCTCCGTCCAGATCTCCTTGTTGGCCGACGCAGTGGGCACTGCATCTGCACCATTTGCGGCCGGAGGCTCGTCGGGTGAGCTGCCACTGTTCTCCGTGCTGTCCGTGGAATTGGCCACCGAGGGGGGGCGTGGCGCAGGCGGGGCACTCGTCACTATTCGCGTCCAATATAATGGACGCATTGGCTTCGGCGGGTTAACTGCACTCTTGCGCATGGCTGTTAAAATATGAATTATTATAGAAGTATGTACATATTGGTAGTTAGATGCTTCGGTGCACTCACTATTTGTGCGATGGAACCAATTGCCCTCGGCGGGATCGGGCAGTGGAGCGGGTGAGATCGGCGTCTTGGAGGGGGATGCACTCATGGGCGGTGGTGGAGGCGGTATTGCGCCGCCTCCTTCAAGGGGAGCGGGTGGAGGGGGTGGCGGCGCGCTGCCACTGCCCGGTGGCGGGGGTGGCGGCGGTGGTGGTGCTCCATAGTTGGCCAGAGGCGGAGGAGGCGGCGGTGGTGGAGGTGCGGGTGCTGCAAAGGCGGGCGGCGGCGGTGGAGGTGGCGGAGGGGGCGGGGCAGCGGCATGTGGCTTTTCCTCATCCTCATCCTTTGCACTGTTTGTCGATGATTGGCCGCACTTGCAGGTGCCCTCGCAATCCTCGCCTTCCGTTTGAGTTTCCGCATCCGTGAAACTCTTCGCAGCGCCCTCCACTCCGGACTTGTTGTATTCGTAAACTGTCGCCTCACTGGCATTCAGCAGTTCCGTGAGATTCACACACCGCTTCGATGGACGACGCGGTGGTTCATCCACACTGCTCAGCAGCTCATTGACCACCGCATGCACTTCGGCCAACGTGGAGCAGTTGAGCAGACGCTTCTTGAGGATCTGTTGCAGGGTTTTCTGATTATCCGAGTTGGTGGTGGTGGATGCAGTGGCCAGCGTTGCCAAGGAGCCTGCCAACGCACCTCCGCCCAAGGACGCCAGCGAAGCGGACTCCAGCGCTCGGATTCCGGATGGTGTGCTGGAGAATGGCCAGGCCGTCACCTTGTCCAGCTTTCCGGGGGTCAGGGGCAACGAGGTGGTCGGCTGCTCCGTGTGCGTCCATTGGTACATTTCATAGGGCTGGAGATTGAAAAAAGTAGGTTTTATTTATTTTTATGGCTTTTTTCATTCTATATTATTTGATATTGTACTTCAGTATCAGCATTTAACCGTCCGTATTCCCCACATATACAGCCAATAATTTCTAATTGCCAGTCGAGTGGGACGGAAAATAAAGGAAAGAGACAGCTGGAGGCGCGGAGAAAGAGACGGCAAGTGGTCTCGAGTGTGCGACAAGCGAGAAAACTTAAAAGCACCTAAGTTGGCCTAAGTTCGCTTTATTTTCAGTCATGCTCCTGTATTTTCTCCGCATGCAAAACTCCTTTGATTTTGATGGTGACTTTTCAGTCCCACTGCGGGAATTGTCCTTTCTTGTTGTCAAGTCTTAAGGCAAAGCAGTGCAGGAACAGAAGGAAGTTAGGTTTGCAAATATTCAGCTAGCAACTTGTGTAATGCATGCTGGAAAAATATAGGGAAAGAATATGTATATTTTAAAGGTATTTCAGAATGACCACCACATCTTTGCGAAACAAATGCTGCTTATGCAGAATCATAGCTACGCAATCACAATCGCGGGCAGTCATGCTAATCAATCAAAGGTCTGATAACTTGACAAATGCAAATGAAGTGCAACATCCCGTGCCGACACTATAACCAATATACCCTGTAAGGAGATTATCCCGAGTCGAGTTTATCGCACTTTACACCATTTGTGCCCAAGTGTTTGCCAGCGATTTGCATGTTGTTTGCACATTTTAGAGAACCGAAGCAGACTGGAGCAACCCAAGCAACCCACAAGCAACTGGAGCGCCACCCAACATCCCTAAAACTAAAAAATGAAAAAAAGAACTTAAATCTAACCATAAGAACCCACATGAAGGTGGGGATAAGTACGCAAAGTGCAGAGCGAGTGCAAGGTAGATTTTTTGCCTTAGTTGGTCAAAAATAAGAAAGTGTTCGGGCTGTCGGATATTCGCAGTTGTCCCAATAACCAAAAGATTTGCTCTGTTCGGCTACAAAACCATGCTTGTATGCTAGGGTTTGAAGAGGATTACACAAAATAACAATAAGAAGTTATTTACTTGGTTTTACCACTTAATAAGAGATTATAACACAATTTCGGCCTGTGATACAGTTTGCTTGTTTCCCAATTCCCACTTAATTACCAACAACATCATCATCGATTCCATTCACTCTAATCCCATCAGCCAATTTATACATACAGTATATATGCACATGTTATGTATAGATATATCTAATATATATATACAATCCAACACGCGTACGCACACTCGCAAACTAACAAACCAATAGACACGAAACTCTTAGTAGTTACATTGCACATTCAAATCCAGTTTGCTCATTTCTGCATCAAAGTTTGGTTTGTTCCGGCTGAACCTAAAGAATAATACCAGTCGATTGGAATGGGAAAAACTTTCGACTGCGAGCAATAAAAACGCACAAACTTACAATGAGCTGCAGCAACAATAGCACGGGAAAACAGAAGGGACTGTGGTAGCAAAAAAATGTATCTAAGGGTACAGTGATCACAGGGAAATGAAAGAAGCCATAGCACTGCTAACCAAAACTATAAATCTGAAGCAGTCGATTTAGATTCGAAGTCCCTGATTCCAGAGCGTTCCCATTATGGAGCAACATAATTCTTTCCTAAAGAAACTTTCCCACATAGCGATAAAGTGCTGTACAGCCAAAGTTAAAGTTGAACAGCGAACCTTTGACACTGCCTCTTTCCCTCTCTTTCGCTCCCTGGCGAGCTGGCCTATTGCCCAAAAAGTTCGAACAAATTCCAGAGACATCGGAGACGTCGTTAGACATACAAATATACAGATATATAAATATATCTAGTTTGGCAGCCAGTTGGGGAAAATTCGTGATATCATAATCTTGAGCTCAAGTATCATCACATAGAAAATCACTTAACGGTGTCGTCTGCCGCCCTCATCCCCGATTTTTGCCGCCCACAATTTTTGGCTATATGTATATGCATGTTTGTGCTATCCTGGGCTTGGGCCTCTCAGGGATTTGAGGTTAAGCTGCTGTGGCTAAAACTTTTGGCCTAAACTAATTTGAGGGCTATATCTAGTGCTTCATTATTTGCGGTGGCTTTTGGTTGTTGTACGTTCTTGGTTGTTGGTTGTTCGCCGGTAGTTGTCGTTGTTTCTGTTGC